ATGTATTCAAAATCGAATGAGGATTTCTCAAGATTCCGAACCAAAAGAATTCAATTGTGTGGTGGACTTACGCTTAAGACGTCGCTTGATATCACAATTTGAAAGAGATTCGCCCCCGTGCGATTCAAGTGGCCTTAGATATTCGAGATTGTGAGATGACTTGATATTACATTTTGAGGGGCCCTGACTTTGCGCAAAATGTTCGAGATACCGCAAGTACGTGGGCTCTTTTTGCCAAGTTCAGTGCCTATTACAGGCCATGTATTGTAGTCTACCTAGTTTTGCTGGCAGTTCCCGCGCTATTTGCTTTCTCACACCAGTGTGTATAAGTCAAACAGTGGGGTAAAAGAAAGAAAGACGTGCTCCAAATTTCAAATAAAGTTGCCGCTGACTCTAGAACTCGACGCGGCGAATAAGCTTGCCTGCAGGTGCTGCCGGCGCGGCGGGAGCAGCTGGAACTGGCTTTCCACCGGCGGGGGCTGGCGGAGGAGCAACAGCAGGAGGCTTGGGCGGTTTTCCCTCAGCTGGAGTCTTTGGGGGGGCTGCAGCAGGTGGAGGGGCAGGTTTGCTTGCAGCTGGGGCCGCGGGAGCTGCGGCGGGCGGAGGGGCGGGCTTCCCAGCGGCTGGAGCTGCCGGAGCTGCAGCGGGTGGGGCGGGTGCAGAGTTCGGCTTTCCTCCGGCAGGCGGAGCGGCAGCTGGAGGAGCGGCGGGAGTGGAACCAGCGGGCTTAGAAGCTGCTGGCGGGGCCGGAGCCGGAGCTGCCGGTTTCGATGGAGCGGGTGCTGCGGGAGCTGCGGCTGCCGGAGGAGCTGCCGCGCCTGCTGCGGGAGCTGCAGCAGCTGGCTGAGCGCCTCCTTTTCCTTTCAATACTCCTGCTGCAGCTCCAAGTACGGCGTTAAGGGGGTTTGCCTGTTGTCCTGCGGGAGCGGCAGCTCCGGCTGCAGGGGCTCCTTTACCCTTGAGAACTCCGGCGGCGGTTCCCAAGACTTGCCCGATCGGGTCAGCGGCTTGAGACCCAGCTGGGGCAGCAGCGCCAGCCGGTTGACCTCCCTTTCCTTTCAGCAGGCCTGCTGCCGTTCCGAGCACGGCTCCAATAGGGTCGGCGGCAGGAGCCGCAGATGCTGCGGGAGCAGCAGCTTGCCGAGCCCCTAATGCTGGAGCTTTTGCTTTCTTGGCAGTTTTCGCCTTTGCCGGTGCTACAGCACCGCCAGTAGTCTTCCCTGTAGCTTTCTTACCCGTAAGCCCTCCCAACAAAGAGCCGATGGGGTCAGCGGCAGCGGCTTGCTGGCCAGCAGGCTGGGCAGCTCCCGCTCCCGCTCCCGCTGCGGCGCCAGCGGCTCCGGCAGCCTTACCACCAGCGCAATTCCTAGAGCCAGGTAAGTTTAATGTCCTAATACAAATGTAGTGCATGCCTTGACGTCTTGTTTTGTCGTGGGACGTGGACAGACTGTAATCCTAAAGTACTCACCCTGTGATACCGCCAGCCTGTGCCCTCACGCATTTGGCATTTTGTCCTCCCTCCATGAAGTCAGTCAACATACTGATCTTGATTGGTCCCTTGGAGGTTTCTTACTGAGAGCAAACAGTCCAAGTCATCGAAGCAGACTGCCCCTTGCTGTGCTGAGACATATGTGGCCAACAGAGCAGACGTTACAACAGCAAGCGCACGCATGGTGAACTAGTGATGGAGTTGTACTCGATATGGATTTGCAGAAAGAATGTGTATAGTCCCCTTTGAGTTCTGGAAGAGGCTGGTAGCTTTGTGTGACGGTTTGCGAACACGAAAAGGTCGCATTAGGGGTGCTTCCCGAATTTTATAGACGAAGAGCCATGGCTTCAGATTTCCTCCTGCAGGTCATCTCATTCACCAGCTGAAGAGCAAAACCCAATTTTCTACCTGCTTCAAAGCCGAGGCAGTCTTCGGTGTCAACATGTGCTGTCCTCACCCTCAAAGACTCGAGGCGTACCTTCCAAACGTCTCAAGAATCGTTTGACCGGAGAGTGTCCCGCATTCTTATTAAATCAGTGGCCGTGCAAGGTATCAAAATTCCGACGACAGTTTTGGTGTGGGCGAAGGGTCCGTCCCTGGCCCCAGACAGCAGTCAAGGTGAGTCGGCAAACTCTTTTAAGATGGAGAAGCGTTCATCTGAAGTGCTTTACAAATTTCTTCATCCCTTGGGGCTAAAGCTATGAACACATGCGCCTCTTTGACTTCCCTTGTCGAACCTGAAAATGCACCCTTGCATGGACGTCTCATCCCATTAACGAAATGTCAGTGCCTGTCACACCATTTGTGGCAATGCTAACATTTGTCAATCTCAGCCTGCCGTGGTGTTAGACCTCGTGTTTCTCTTGCATGCCATCAAATACTCAATGGCCACTAGGTCTCAATACTTTACTTAGTCACGCTAAGTAGCATGCTCTGTTGGCGAACTTTAGGACTACCTCCGACGTGAAATCTGCTCGGATGCCCGATTTACCGTGCAGCCAACTAGGTAACTGTACAAGACTAAACACAATGTTCCTGATTGCTTCCGTCTATCATGGAATTCGATCAGTTTTCACATGATAAAATCTGTACTGGATTTCATATCTTTCTATGAAGGTTACTTGATAAGCTCAGGACGTAGACCCAATTATCAGGGTACTTAGCAAGTACATGTAGACTTACACAGGTGCAAGGTGCACACCACCACAGTGATTGTAGGAAATTTCACGCGCCGGTCGCATTCTAGGAAGCCAGAATGAACTTACTGACCGACACAACATTGCTCGTGTGCCTTATCTACTGCGCCATTGGGTTGGCGGCCATAGCTGCTCTCTGTCTGTGTGTTAAATGCAAGTTGAGGTGGATAGTGACTAAAGTCAGGTATTCGTTCAGGTCACCTGGTCGGTCTGTGGCACGGCCATTGAAAGAATCCCCCGAGGCTAAATCGTGCTCCCTGGCTATATTGTCCTGCCAACTATGCCAGTTTTACTACGTCAATGTTTCTTGCCCAGTTCACTGTCGCATTTGAATAGACATCGTGCCAAACTGTTGGTATCTCGCACGTGGACAGGCAGAAGAGAGTAATTTACGGGGTTCGGAGACTACAGGGTTGCCCAAACACCTTTTAAAGGGCGGGGCACTACTTACTTTTGGTATTTCGCACGTAGCTTTGCCTGAAAGCCGGGACAACAATAACGCTCAAAGAAACATTGCTTCATCGCTCTTTCCTCATGGAAATAACACAGCAATTTTCCCCTTTGATATGGACATGTAGTATTTGGATGTGTAGAAAAACTCATTGCCGATGCTGCAGGTCTCGATGTCCTGACAACCTAACTACGCTAAGCTTGAGACAAACGGATTTGATGATTCAGGTAATACATGTCGATGTACCCCCATTGATGTCATAGGACTCCTAAACTTCACTAGCTGGTAAGCAACCAAGACGAGTTGACGCCGCAGATAGTCAGTGGAACTATGGATCACTACAATTCATCGAACGCATTGGTACGTGGTGCCCACCTTGGGTACCTACCTACCCAGTTGACAACGAGTTTTGCACTTCTCGATCCTGCTCTCAACATATCATATGGCTGCTCGCCACCGTAACACTTCATTTTCTTAGGCTAGATTTTCAGTGGCGTACATCCTTCTGAATTCAATGATGTTTTACTGCCTTCTCCAAATCTGGCCTTGGTCTGTCACGCAGGGTAGGCCTTACCTGACTAGGTACCCTACTAAGGCTCAATACACCGGCGAAATTGGCCGGGACTCACCTCTCCCCGCCCAATTTGGCCGTTCCGCCCATGTTCAGCGGGCGGCGAAATTGGCCCAATTACACGCTCTTTGCACGGAATGAGAATGCGATTCTCTTCGAGCCACTCTCGGTCAATAAGCGGCTTTTTAATCTGTGACTATTCAATACAAGACAATACTGGAGATCATATAAAGTGAGATATTTCCTTGCCGGCTTATTACATCTTGAAATTTGGAGTAAGTCATATCCAGCACACGCATTTTCTTATCACTATTACAAAACATCACTCAGACTACTCTACTTCACCTGACTTTGAAACTTCCTTCTTCAAGATGTCCATCGCTCTCGTCACTGGAGGTAACACCGGCATTGGTGAGGCTGTCGTTCAACAGCTCGCCAGAATCCCGGGCTTTCATGTTATCATAGGATCTCGCAATCTCGAGTATGGCTCTAGGCTCGCCGAATCTCTCAAAACCGAGAACTGCTCAGTTTCTTCTATTCAGCTCGATATTACCTCTGACGAATCGATCTTCAAGGCCATCGAGTCCATTCAGAAGACTCACGGAAAACTTGATGTCCTCATCAATAATGCAGGCATTTTGATCGATACATACCCCGATTCGTTTAGCTCCACTCGAGATCTTTTCAGAAAGACCTATGAAACCAACGTCTTCGGAACAGCCGTTCTAAGTGAAGCAGCTCTTCCTCTCTTACGCAAATCTGAGTACCCGCGCATCATCTTCGTGTCGTCCCAGATGGGTTCTCTGGAGTCGACTTTGGACGAGAGTATGCCCTTCTACAACGTCGACTACAAAGCATACGATGGCAGCAAGGCAGCTGTCAACATCTTGGCTGCCAACTATGCCCGTATTCTCAAGGATGTTGGCGGGGCTTCAAATGCTGTTTGCCCCGGCTTGGTCAGAACGAAACTAACTGGATGGATGGACGCCGGAGCACCGACTTCTGTTGGTGCGGAAAGAATTGTGGAATTGGCAATTGCAAGTCCGGGTGGACCGACTGGCACGTTCTCTAACAGGGAGGGTCCGCTCGCGTGGTAGAAAAGATATTCGGGCTCATCAGTGTATCGGTTTAGGCCGCCTCAGTGGAAAGAGGGAACGCGAATGGCAGCCTTGGACCTGTTCTAGCCTTCTCGATTTTAATTGCATGAGAGACCGACCAGACCGCGCGTCCTAGAATACACGCGAAACCAGTAGTACAATCTATGATGCTCATCTTACGTATTAGTCTCTTAATTTACATCATCGCCGTCACTAAATTCAGGAGCAACCCGATGTTATCGACTCCTGAATTCCATCTATCAAGCGTTTCTGCATGAAATGCATCGTTGGCATGTTGATGACTTTCCAGAAGCTCCCCAAAGTATGCCAGATCCTGACCCCGCTTGGGAAGACTTCTCAACGCTTTTGTTTCTTCGTCCCATGATTCTGGCGTTGTAGCACCCCATTGTACTTTGTGACATGGTAGTGTCAATTCTCTCCATGTGTCAAGAACGCCGCAAGATATGCCTACCTTAACGGTGGCTACTTGCGCTACCAAGAACCACACGCAAGCAATTCTGGCGCGTCTTCTTGTCAGTTCGTTTAACATTGATTTCAGAATGGAACCGAAATCTACTTACCTTATTCGGGACTCGTCTAAGATCCAATCTTCCCATGGTTTCGAACTCTTGGACTTTACACTGCATGGTGTATCAGTCAAGGCCATGAACTAATTCCAAAGCGCCTAGTCAAAAATTGTCAGCTGCGACGCGTTCCATCAAGAACTCATAATCTTCGGTAGCAGAAGATACCTCATAAGCCAACAGCATGTGGGTGTTGTAATCACGGTCTACAAGAGTGCTTCCACCGCCGGCAACGACACGCATGATGATATATATCAGCTCTGCTTGTATTGAGGCGAAGATGTCTCTTTTGCTATATCTAACCATCTGTTGAGAGAAGTCAGCATTCTCAAGTCATCTGGCAGGGTGGAGTGCACTATTCCAACTTCGCTGAGGTTTCTGTCCTGCTCTTTTCGAATTGATTGCCATAAGAACGAACTAGTGTCTGGGTTTCGAGATACGAACAAAATCGCAATGCCCATACAGTTTGCTAGTGGCTCGGGAAGATGGCTCTTATCCTGATATTGGTGTATGAAGGGAGGGAATGTTGACCTTCGCAGCATCATTTCAGGATATGAGCGCAGTGCCTGTTTGATCATGTTCGCACTGCCATTCGCCGCCGGCTTTGGTTCCTTGATGAATTGAAGTGGAAAGACGATCCCAGATGTGTTTGATATCACGCGCCTGCCAAAGTTCATCGAATGTGACAGTATCTGCCGGTATGGTTCTGGTGATGGAGACAAATCGGTGTCACCGACCATCAGGTCCTCGGTTATGTGACCAAGTCCAGGTTCCGCCAGAGGGAAGTGGCCAAAAGCGACTTCATCCGGCAGCTCAACTATTTGCGAGAATGCATCCCATTGTACTTGATGATCAAAAGTCGAAGCCTCTGGTATGAAAGTAGACTCAGGATTAGCTGGATCCAAGCCCAGAAGACTCGGCGCCCAAACTTGTGCGCTAAGGTCCTCTGTGCTGGCTGTCGGCCCTTGACTTCTGTTTTCTGCGTAGATGCAGTCTAATCCTTTCTTTGTGCAACGCGTACAGCGGGCTTGTAAGCTACACTTATGTTTGGCTGCGCTGCATTCTCGACAAGGCTTCGGTCGGCTTCGGAGTCGGTCTTTTGTTCGTCGACAGTAAGACACATGTCTCTTCCGTGCAGTCTCTAATTTGGGGATGTTGAGTTAGTTCTCACGTTGGAATAAGAGGCAGACGCAGTAGCTGAAGACAGACCTTGGCTGAAGGGCTTGCTACATATCCCACAGAAGAACACGCCGGCTGATAGGCTGTTCGTCGGAAAGATTGTGTCAAGAAATTCAGAGCCGCTCATGTTTGGTCAACACACCTGATGAGTACCGTTCTCGCTTGGAGCTCTATAGACACGGGCTGATCCAGTCAACTATGGGTTTTAGACAGTTATTTCCTTGACGGAATGACTACAATAAAATCAAGCATTTCTTTTGTCAGCAACTAGCTTGGAGACTGACCCGACAAAGATCCTGCGGAGATAAGCTCAAATTCCGGGTCGAGAAGCCCAATCAGATGTCACACCAATTCTTCAATCTGTAGCACCTGATATGCGAATAATTGTCGTCGCAGCCTCAAAATTATCTTTCATGGTGAGAATTTCGGTCAACCTCGATAATATCACTCCAAGGGCAGTGCGGGAAGCTTCCGTCTCCACAGTATCCGTACACCGAACCAACGCCGTCAAGCAAAGAGGCTGGGTATGGCTTGGTTTTGACATAAGCCAGGCGACCTCGACTGATAGCATGAGGTGATGAGTCTCAGTAAGGATATCATGGTCTAAAAGCGCGACGAACAAGTGCCAAGGGACAAAAGTGTCTATCCATCGCTTAGAGGGGTGAGCTATGTATGGGGTCCAAATAAAGCGATAAGCGAGACAGCCGACGATAGTCTAGAAAATTGCCAAGTAACTCAGTCACACGGATTGCTTCAAGGCGGGACCCTGGGTCAAAGCCAAGGAGCGGTTTGAGTTCAACAGTGCGCTAGAGCCCGGAGTGACAGTCGCCACCCACTGTCGTGTCGCTTTCTGAGCAGCCAGATTGACGGGAGCACCGGGCGGCGGGAAGGCGATCTGCCATGACCGAGACCACGGGTGGAAGCACTGTTTCGAAGCTTGGAGCGCACGAATGTCAAGAGGTGCATGGCAGCCCAATGGGGGTGGTAGAAGAGCCCGAGAAGTGTGTGGCAGGATCGGCGGCTGCACTTGATGGTGTTGACGAGAGTAAGGATTGACAGGGGCAAGTAGAACCCAATGGGAAGAGCCGCAGATGAGGGCACATTGGCCTCGGACGGTGATAGGTGATTGTGAGACAGATGAATACTTGAGTACAGTGGCACGGATTCTGTAAAATTGCATTGCCCGAGTGCGAGTAAGTTGAGGGCCCCGTCGGAAGCGGAAACCCGAAAAGACGATGTTCTTTTGCTGTTTGGGGCAAAACGTACAGAGTCACCGATGTATCAATGTGAGCTCACTCATAGTGAGGAGACTTGACCGATCTGGAGCCCTGCAATCACCCGCCCATCAAGACCCTCATACGCAAGGCAGATAGTACGGAGTGCTCTGTCAGAAAGTCACATTTTTATGTTCATGTCAATCCACCATGACGACGAATAGCGGCTAACGGCTCTCGGCCAAGCTGTCGGTGTTGGACAAACGACGTCAGGAACGTTGTGTCGGTGCTGGGTAGCAATACAGGAACATCAAATGGGAAGACTGGGGCCATTTGAAAGTGAAGCTGTACAACCTCATCGTGCGTGCGTCATGCAACAGCAAGCTGAAGCAGCAGCATCGTGGCAAGGACAGACATCAAAAGCAGGACCGGCGTGACTCGGGAACAAGAAGAGGAACATTAAAACATTGTAATGGCGTGACTGAAGAGAGGCAGCATCGGAGGTTAGGATTGATCCCCGCGGAGGTTAGGATTGACCGGGGATCAAGAATGAGCATTGCGATTTGGAGTAAGAGCAGCGGCCCTCACAGTTCACTTCAAGCTTGTACGGTCCTTGACCGGTTGTTGGCTGCGATGCGGTGAGGAGGGCTGGAAAGAAGGAAGGGAGCTGGAAAGGCGGAGAGAAAGGGAGCCACTTCCAGGCACGTTATCCGCCCCTGGGCCCCAGGGGATGAAGGATCGGAAAGGCGGAAAGAAGCCGGAGAGAAGATGGGCAGGGACAAGGCCTGTGGTTGAGGTGAGACTGTGAGAGTGACTGAGTCTGAGTGAGAGACGCGAGGTGAGAGCTCAGCTCACGGATAACTGGTGAGAGACGAGACGAGGGAGAGAGGTGGGCCTGGCCGAGCTGACAGTTTTTTCTCCCCGCTCCCCCTCCCACGCGTTCTTGGTGTGAGAGGTTAAAAACTTGACGCTACCTATTTGAATGTACGGAGTAGACAGATCGAGGATCAGACTGGGAGGCCTGGGAGCGTTAAGTGACTTAGGTGGCTCCTCATCCGACCGGCCCCGTCTAGTCTCAGGCTCTCAGCTCCAAAAGTCACGAATCACCCTTTCCGTTTGGCCTGTTCCATCCCCATTCCATCCGTCTTGTCTCCTTTGGAATGGCCAGCTGCAAGTTGCAACCTGCAACGAGGCCCAAATGCACAAAAAAGGCGCTCAGAGCTTCTTCCGCTGCCAATCGCCGGGATGTCGCCTCACCCTGAGCAGCCTGGGCTGGCCTTGTCGCCCCTATGAAGACAGGGGAGGGGGTGGTTTTTTTCCTTCTCGGTTTTCAGGGAGTGTGACGAAAAAAGAAGACGTGGACTTGTCACCGTGACTGACTGGGACTGCGAATGCGACCGTGATGAGAAGCAGGGTATTCTATCCGTAGACATAGGCGCGAAAGGGGCAGACTTGCGCTCCCATCACTGGGCTTTCACTCATTAATTCGGCTTGGGCATTTGGCTTCTACCTTCTCACTGGCTCACCTCCAATGTTTTCCCAAAGATTGGAAGCCAGTCATGGCGTGTAATTGTGAGCCGATGCTGTCCGCCGTTGTATTTCATGTCGAAGAGCCCCTCTCATGCCGCATCGTCCCCCGTTTCTCGATTTCTCTTGCGACCTCCCTCCCTCCCCGCTCTTTTCCTCTCATATCAGCCAACATATCGTGGCCTCGCAATCCATCTCACTACGCATCGCAAGTGAGAGAAAGAGAGAGTGAGAGAGACTGGGATATCCGTACAAACACGTACCAAACGCTCACCTGCATCTCACACCGTCATATCGGAATCTCCCATACCGTTAACAGAAAACGACAGAACATCTCCATCGACGTCCCCTCTACAGATACCAGGCAAGAAAGAGACCTGCACGTTTCCCAGCCTCTGTATCCCCACATCGCTTTTGTCCGGCTGCCAGCCGTTGTTCGTCGTCCACTTTAACATCAACGGCTAAACCTCCCACGGACCGCGATCTTCTCAGTGCCACTGCCACGAGTGCCACAGCATCTCTGGGGGGGGTCTTGAGTCTTGACCCGTTTCTGTGACTTTGTGGGGGCCGATTTGCAAACCCGTCCTCGGTGTCCTCCACCCCTTGTCACCCAAGTCGGTACTCGCTTCCGTTTGGAACTGTGACGGTGGAGTATTGTTAGGGGCCTCCTTTCCTTCACCGCATCGTCAACAGCGAGGGACCCTGCCCCCAAAAGCGCCCAGAAGTGCCCCGAGTGCCCTTCAAGTGGCTCCCCGCGACAACGAACAAGACGGGTTCAATTTTGGCGGTGGACTGGGCTCCCTCTGAGACCAGCCTCCCTCTTCCTCTCAGAGTCCTGACGGAACCTTCTTGGCCAAGCCAAGCCCGTCTCGTAGCACCCTGGAGCCTGTCGTCACTTAAAAGAAGGGAAAGCTTCAAAATCGACTAGTACCGCCCGCACCAACACCACCATACTAGGTCACCGCCTGTGTGTGTGTCTCTCACACACTCTTCCTCTGCCTTGACGCACTCGCACACTCTCTCACACATACACATCACTTGCTCGGTGAAAGACGCCGAGCAGGTGAACTGAGATATATCATCATGGCCCTCACGCAGACAGTCACTATCATCAACAATTCGGGCAAGATTATAAGTACCGTAAGTCTCTTTCTCTGGCTCACACCCGTTGCATTCCCCCCCACCGCCCCTCATCAGACTCCATGCCCACTCGATCCAGCCCTTGAATTCGGCCGTCAGAACTGCGCGCAACAACATTCGACATGCAAACAATGCATACGCACTACAACTCTCAGCCGAGCGATGAAGCCCAATAGCTGACGTATCATCTTCGCTTCTGCAGGGAAAACACCTGGCCGGTATCTTCAAAGAAGCCAAGGCTTCCTACCAGGAGAAAAAGGCGGCCATCAAGGCCGACCGGGAGGTTCTGAAGCGCGCCCAGACCTTTGATACTTCTCGCGATCTCCCTCCCGAAGCCTTTGATCGCCGCTACTCGCACGACGATGGCCGCTCTGTCGCCAGCTCCAGGAGAAGTCATCGATCGAGACGCTCCCAGTCAAGCCACCGCGATGTCGAGTACTATCCACGTTCGAGACCTGCTCTGACCGAGAACAACCTCAAGACACATTCCGAAGTCTCCAGCGTCACGCCATCAAGAGCGCCTCCCTCTGCATACCGTACTCCTTATGCCGAAACGGCTCCCCGCGATGTGGCTTTGAGCCGCCCGACCTTGCCGCATTACACCACCGCCCCGTCTTGCAGCGACAGTCTCGCAGACTCGGCAACAATCCGTGGATCCATGGTTCCCCGTACCATGTCCGCGCCTGTTATACCCAAGGGTCGCAAAGAGAAGGAAATCGATATGGACCTCGCATACGGCAACATTCCTCCCGATCTGAAGGATCGCACTGATCTGGATCCCCTGACCAAGGAGAAGGAGGCTAAGACACTCATCTCCAGGGTCGAGGGACTCCTCGACGAAGCCAAATGCGCACACCACTCCGCGACCGCTACCATCGCTCATCTGCAAGGAAATCCCGATGCCGCCGCCGCTGTTGCCTTGACGCTAGCGGAATTGTCCACGCTCTTGAAACAAATGTCGCCTGCCTTCTTATCTGTGATCAAGGGAGGCTCGCCGGCCGTTTTTGCGCTTTTGGCATCGCCTCAATTTCTCATTGCCGCCGGTGCAAGTATCGGCCTCACGGTAGTCATGTTCGGCGGGTGGAAGATTGTGAAGCAGATAAAGGACGCCCAGGCCCAGAAACAGGCAGCTATCGCCAACGCAATGGCCTTCGAGGCACAACCCGCACCACAGGCCATCGAGTATGCACAGCACGATCAGTACGACCAGTACGACCAGTATGACCCCTACCAGCAGCCACGGGAGGGGAGCGTGCGGGAAGGGAGCGTCCGCGAGGGGAGCGTTGCCTACGACGAGGCATATGTTCTTGATCCTCGACTTGACGAGGAGCTTAGCTCCATCGAGAGTTGGCGCCGCGGGATCGCCCCTGCAGGTGATGATGAGAGTGTTGATATGGAGCTCATCAGCCCTGAGGCCGCGCGTTCGATGCTTGGAGACGACACCCGTACTGAGCGGAGTTTCCGGACACAACGCAGTTCCAAGACGCACCGTAGCTCGAGGACGGAGAGGACCGAGAGGTCGGAGAGGTCGCACCACTCATCCAGGTCGCATCGCAGCATCCGCGAGTCCGAGGTGCCCGAACGCAAGAGCAGTGTTGCAAGGTCCGAGGCTGCGAGATCTGAAAGAGACGCCGAGAGTGTCGCCAGCAGCCACCGAAGTCACCGCAGCTCTGCTTCCAAGCGCAGTACACGCGCGCCGACACTAGCAATTGAGGACGGCAGTCGCCAGAAGGAAGACGAGGCTATCGAAGCGGTTCTCCGACCCAAGAAAAACAACATGCTCAAGTCCCTGTTCAAGAAGAAGGAGAAGGAGCACAGAGACAGAGATGAAAGGGTTTCTGCTCTGGTGTTCTAGGATGTGACCATGAAGAAGACGCTGCAGATGAGGACAATGAAGAATGGAAATGATGCATATGGCTTGGGCGGTTTCCCAGCCTGGACGGAGTTGGGATTATAATTGGTATGCATAAGGGAGGACGCGGCTTGGAATCGGCCCTCACTTTGCATTGTTGTCGGGAATACATTATTCATCCAAGAGGGAAACATACTGACGATTATTGTTACATCATCTTTGAGCGATCAAAACTTTTCTATTTCAGAACAGTAGATAGTGTCGCAATTTACACGCAAGAAATACATTTTCTGTACTCGAATTTCCATCGCACTGGGCGGGCTACGTGCAGGGACGGCGTTATGAAAAGCGAACGATGCCAGTCGCATACGGTAATTGTCAGTCAGCAAATTGAAGAAGCTCAATCGATCTAGTCTCCGCTAATATAGTGGGAGAGGCATGGCATACTTTTGATGCTGTCGCAGTTGTGGCCGGGAGCAGCGAAGAGGCGTAGGGCTGAACCGGAGATGGACGAGATCGGAAACAAAGTCAGACGGCCGAAAGCAAGTTTTTTCGTCAGCTGAACGGCGCAAGGCTCACCAGCGAAGGGTGGCACCTGAGTTACAGGAGGACTAGAAAAGCCAAAAAAGACAACGGTCTCTTCCGGGTACGAGATGGCACGCTGAAGATGCATGTCAGCTTTATGTTGTCAGTCCCCTTGACCAACTGAACGCCGCCCTTGGGTATCGCAGCAGCGGCGGCACACAATTCTCGGGGTTCTCATATCGCACAGCCGTTGCCCACTTTGCGTCGGTCACTCATGTCGTTCTTCACCCAACCCCGGTGGCGGACGGGCCCATGCTACCTAGTTCTCATGCTGAATTTGGCTATAGCCTATCCACAAGGTTACCATCAACCGTATACTTGGGTGGCCAGGGTATGGAAGTTGGCAAGATATCTTGCTTCATGGTCGGATGACTACCTTGAGTGTATGGACACTGAGACTTTTTCAAAATGTCTGAAATCCTCGACCCTTGAATTCGAGAGCATCCTCCTTCGCTTGATACTGTCCACGAGGAGGCATCCTTCAATAGCTCAGTGTCCGTTGGTGTGGGAAACGACGCAGACTCAGTCACAGCCCCCAAACTCTCATTTTCCGTCATCTCACCTCATCATCAACCCTGCAGGTTGCGTTGGAACTACCACAACTTACGTCCCATCTCTCATCTCACTGTCATCCTCTTCGGCCCCACGAGGCGGTGTCACCCATGGAAAACTCTTTGAATCCTCCCGATGAGAAGGGGAATGTAACCTCAGCTGCGTCTAGATGATGACGGAGAACCTCGTCCCACCTCATCAAACAGAGCCATTCACGGTTGCAAAGGCGATCAAAGGCAGCAGCATATGGTCAAGCCCAGATGTCAGAATATGAAGGGACCAACAAGGCTCCCGGGTTTCTCTCGAGACATATCCCGGCCGCCACATGCAGCCATCACCAATCACGCACATCAGTTACCCCCAATGTTGGTCGGGAACGCCAGTCCTGCGCCATCACCTCGAGCTGAGCCAACTTGGCTGCAGTGGCCAGCCCCAAAGTAGTGACCAGGCAAGGTATTCGTAAAGTCAAGTGCAGCTCGACGCAAGTCGCATCGCCCCTCCCCTTGTTCGTTATTCGTACGTCCGGAGATGGAGGGCGGGAGGAGCCACATGCATCCATCACCTCCGGCAAGTGTTGGTAGCTGTGTTTCCGCAAGCCTTACGAGACAACATGCAAGCTGTCTTATCAGTTGTCTTTCTCTCATTAATTCCCCTCAATTCGTACTTCCCCTCTCACTCTATTGTTCTCCAGAGATTTTGTTCTTCAGCAGCGGTGCCCTCCCTCCTCGTTGGATGTCGCTTGCCCAGAATACTTCGAATGGCAATCCACACAACTTAGCCATCCAGCCCAACAAGTTGTTGAGACTCAGAGGATCCAACTTCTGCGATCTTTCAGATTGACCTCGCTGGCGATTTCAATCGTCAAATGTGCCTAGGGCGACCACCCAATAGCCAAGGCTTTGTGCCACGCCGACTAACGTCACTGTCTGGTTGTCGCATTCCCTCAAACCACCACCAACACCACATCATCTTCTATCCCTGGGCCTCATCCGCCTGGGTTAACCAGCCATGATGGAGGGCAAACCCGGCGACGAAGGGCTAGGCCTGCGGGAAAGGGACATTCAAGATCAAAATGATATTCAGATGACACCGTCGGCTGAGTGGCATCCCACTCGCCAATTTGCTCGGAAGCCGATCAACGGGCCACAGACTCCAACAACGCCGGCACCCATCGGCAGCCCGTACGGGCCTTTCGGAAGAAGCCCACCGACGCCTTCCGCCAAATCACCACAACCGTCCTTTTCCGAACGAGCTGCCGGCGCCGCAGCGTATTTCCCAGCACCGGCGAGCGGAAATAATGCGTCTTCTCAGCGACCGAGGCCGGCGCCATTACAAATGGATGGGCACGAGTATTCAAACTATTCTGCCTCTTACTCCAGCCTAAGCACGCCGTATACGGGCGGACTTTCTACTGGAGGGCTTCCACCAAAACGACATAGAAGCGCTCGAGTCGATTCTCAGTCCTCGGCAACTGGTCTACTCTCACCACCGTGGCATGGTCCTCCGCCTAATCGACCGCAGTCGATGTATTATCCCCCGGAGCAAATTCGGCTTTTCAACAAGTACTGGCACCCGTCATGGAATATGTATTTTTTCCTCTTCGCCGGGATTGCATTTGCCCTCGGCCACCATTTTTTCTATGCCGGCCTTGACGGAACAGAGGCCAACGGCCAGATTCGCATGCTGCGCTACGGCGCTGCATTGTCATTCCTCAGCAAGGCAAGTCTTGGATCGGCTGTGATCCTAGCCTTCCGACAAAGAGTATGGATGACGGTCCGCCGAAAGATGCTCACCCTCGCTGCCGTGGATTCGCTCTTTGCCGCGGCGGAAGATATGACTGCCATTTTCAACATTGAAGTCTTCCGCCAAGCTAGGATCGCCATGATCTTGGCCATCTATGTGTGGTGTACCCCTCTTGTCGTGGTTCTCACCTCAGACACTCTAACTGCTCAACCTGCGACGACACGCCAGACCACGACGTGCCCATCCATTCGCACTCTCAACTTTGCTCAAGAAGAAACCAATGACTTTCGTACAGGGACGAAGATTAACAACCTTTTTGAGCTTTCCACTTCCTTATGGAACACAACTACCTTGAATCAGTCCAGCGAAGACTTCTTTGACTATTGGATCGGAACGAGCTGGCAATTCGAGGAGATATCTACTTCAGCAATTCTAGGCAAGAAACCGCTCTCGCGGACGAATGCAAGTCTTGATGTTTGCGGCATGGGCTGGAACTGTTCATTCACCATTCAGTTCAAGGGCCCCGGATACAAGTGCGAAGAGCTTGCCAGCGGCGTCGGGTCGACACCGAAGAAGCTCAACGGCGCCGAGATGCCCTTCAACATGAGCATGCTTGCCCCGGTGGGCAATCATACCTACATTGCTCATGCCACCGCTGGCGAGTACCAGAACCCTCAGATGAACGACACTGGCTCCGCAGGCGTCATCAACACGCCACCGCCATATCCGCAAAACCTCGGCGCGCTCCGTGTGGAGCCGGTGCTCTGGTTCGGCATCGCTGAGGTCGACGAGCCATCCGATCCCCAGCCGATGGACCCCACCTTACCCGAATGGCAAACGGCCTACACCCCAAAGGTGTTTGGCTGCGAGCATCGTGAGACGGAGTATGAGGTCGACTTCAACTACACGGGTCTCACTCAAAAGACCACTGTCCGGAAGCGAACGTTCTTCGACCGCATCGTCGATACCCGCTACCTCCCCGGTGTCGACGCTCAAGATGGAACAGCGGACAACACCACAGGCACCCCGGAATCGAACTACATCTTCCCGCAGGACGTGGCTCGTTACCGTAGAACGATGGCATATCACTCCATCGGATACCAATTCCGCCAATACATCAACGGGACAATCTTCCAACCCAACACCGACGCCAACACCAAAATCCTGCAAACGCGCATCCTCGACCAGCACAACTACCTCGTCGTCAAGGACTTTATGTTCCAGGTCCAGAGCCTCTACGAAGACATCCTCATCTCCATGTTCTCTCAGCCACGCCTCCTCGCCGTCGTCTGGGCCAACGACACGAGCGAGAAGACGGGCACCCGTCTCGGTGACAACCACACCTACCCCTGCACCCGCGAGCGGACCGACCTCCGCTACAAGTACCACGCCCGCGACCTCTGGGCCGTCTACTCCGTCGCTATCCTCCTCGCCATCGTTGGCGTGGCCTTTGGTCTCGCCGCCGTCCGCGAAGAGGGCCTCGTCCGCAATACGCGCTTCAGCAGCATCGTCGCGGCAACCCGCGGCCCGGGCCTCGAGAAGCTCCCTTGGGCAACGACGCCCAACAGCGACCATCGACCCGTCGCCGGCGCCAAGGTCGGCTACGGCCTCGTACCCAAGGATCCGCACGCGGGAGGTGTCGAGACGTACGGGTTCGGGCTGGAGGGAGACGTCAAGCAACCGCAGAGGGAGCGTGAGCAACGTGACGACTCGGGCCGGACACCATCGAGGTTGGGTAGTCCCTTTCAAAGGGGGCCGTTCAATCGGAGGTGGTCTAAATTGAGTGGTCAACCGTAAGATCTAGTGCTTCTTTTACCATCTAGATATCCAGGCTGTGCCGTGAGCGTAGTCCATGCTTGCTTTAGTGTTTGTTGTTGTTGCTTCGTGCTTCTTTGCTGTTGGAAATCCACATAAAAGGACAAGAATGTATGACTTTATTCAGTCTTTGTAATGAGCAATGCGACAGAGAACAAGAGACAGACAAAAGCACGGGAAAGAAGGGCTAAAGCACAGGCTAGAGAGTCCTCCACAGTTGTCTTTCTGTGTCAAGTGTAGCCTTGAATGAGCTCATAATCACAATGTATAAACTGTCTACTGCAAGAAAAAGACGCGAACCACTATGTGATAATTGATGTACCATGAACCGTTTCATTTCGTGCGGCTTTTGCCTGATATCTACATTATCCCATACAGTGAAGTGGTATATGCGCTCTGCGCGGCCCAGAAATCATGCAAACGCCCGCCTTTTTTGTTTTCAAGCCCCGCCTGTGGCCGTTAAAAACTCCGAGAATGTGAGGGTAGAAGAAGCCCATCCAACCCCGCCCTACCAATGTCATTATGCCATCATGCGGTTTCCCCCTTGGTGGATGCTGTTTTGCCTGTCGTAATATGCTTGTTCGTGAAAACTCCTGTTGTCCTATCTTGATATTCCTTCGTCATTATAAGTCTTCGGCCAAAAGGGCGCGGACTTCTGGCTCGTTGAGGAGCTTGCGTTCGCCAAGCTCGGAGAGAGGTTTGCCATCACGGACAGCGCCGAAGTCGAGAATCTATCATGTGTTGGTTAGCAAATTGTCTGATGAATCTCTAAGGGTGAAACTTACCTCGACATAGGTCAAGCTGTCTCGCTGAACAGCTGCAACACAACGCCTCTGGTCGAACTTGACCTGCCAAACACCGCTCAGGTCGGTCAAGAGATCTTGAACACACTCGCCAGTACGAATGTCCCACATCTTGACCGTCTTCTCGCTTCCAGAAATGACCTTTCGGCCATCATGCTGGAAACATGTAATTGCGCCAGTATGGGCTGTGAGTACATTCTTGCATTTGCCATTCTCTGGGTCCCAAATGCGTAGGGTGCTGTCGGCAGCAGCTGACACGAGTCTTTCGTCCCGTAAGTCGAGCAGTCCGACGAGTAAGCTGTGGCCTTCTAGGGTGTGGAGACAAGCGCCGGTGTTCAGGTCCCAAATCTTCACCAGAGAGTCCATGGACCCTGAAATACAACGGTTACGTTCGTGGTCGAGTACGACGCTGTAGACCTTCTGGGAGTGACCATGCAGAACGTGCAGAGACTCGCCAGTGCTGATCCGCCAGACGCGGACAGTACTGTCGTAGCTACCACTGACGAGGGTGTCACCGTGTGCAGAAATGGCACGCACAGAATGCGTGTGTCCAGAAAGCGTTCGGATGAAGTAGGGACAGTCGGCATCATTGGCTGGAGGGCCAGTCTGGATGTATCTGCGAGAGCCGACCTCAGGCAGGCGCCAGACACGAAGCTGGCTGTCACGGGACCCCGTAATGATGAGCGGCTTTGGCGGCATCATGATGGGTTTTCCATCGTGGCCCTTCCCGTTCTCAGTAGGCATAAGGATCTGCAGGCATCGAACGGTACTAGTGTGTCCATAGAAGACCTGTGTGCAAAGACCCTTCTCGATATCCCAGACACGAACAGATCGATCGGTAGATCCAGAGACGAGCATGTTCCCTTCGTATTGCAAGGCCCAGACACCGCCTTCGTGGCCTTCGAGCTTCTTCCGCAGCTTTCCGGTATTGGTGTCGTAGACATGAATCAAGGTATCGTCGCTACCGGTGATGATTTTGTCTTCATCGAATTGCAGGCATGTTATGACATGGCGGGGGTGGGCAGCAAAAGCAACGTGTCCAGGCTTGACTTTGCCGCTCGTCCAACTTTGCCGGATCATGTAATGGCGTCGGTAAAGGGACTTGAACAGATGCAACTTCTGGAGTCCCGGGATGCTGGTCTCGGGATTGGGCACAGCAGCGGCCGCCGCGTTGGCTGCTGAAAGTGGTCCCTCGGACTTGTGTTGCTTCACCTCGGACTGTATCGTATCCAGCCGGGCTACATCCTGGCCGCTAGCTCTACGCTTCGATCTATCGGCGCTAGATAAGTTAAGAGCCCTCTTTCGCTTGGAACTGCGAAGCCTGCTCGTCGAATCGGTCTTGACAACGGATTTGGTGAGTTCGTTGTCGGCCGAGTCCAGTCTGCTCAGAGGTCGCAAGTCAACCTCGGCCCCAGTGACTCCAACGGGATCTTGCCAACCCCAGCCCTGGATAATGGCCTTGTCGAGTTCACCCGGAGGCAGTGTGAAGCCATCGCGATCGAACAACTCCTTCCACCCAGTTTCGTTCGTGTCCACGATATTTCGCCAATGCTTGGAGACCTGCGCAGCTCGACACAAGTCGCGGTGATCGAGGAACGACAAGACGTGGAAGCTCAACTCGAGAGGAAGCTGTTTGAAGAAGTCGCACTTCAGCGCAGGGGTGACGACATCGGCTACAAGACGAAGGGTTTTTCTCGGGCATCGGCGGAGAAGATTATACATCAAAAAGCTCTTCATCTCGTTGGGCATGGCATCGAATCTTTCCATCATGTTGCGGGTGTCGAGCATGGCGGTGTGGGCGTCGAGGTCGTCCGCTTGGAAGGAGCTGTCATCCACAACGATGGACATGTCGGAAGCGTAGCCGCCCTCCTCGGTCGTCTGTGATTCATGCAGCCAGGCCTGGTTGCGGAAGCTGACATTTCGTCGGGCAACAGCACTGCTCTGGGGTGACTCTCCATCTTCGTCATCGGAGTCTCTCGAATTCAGTTGAGCGGCTGCCAGGGTAGGCGAAAGTCTCGGACTAGGTAGGCTTGCATCCTGTGCAGCCACGGCATCGATGGAGGGTCTGTGGCCAACGGCTCTGAGAGATTGTTGGAGCGACTCGTCGGTATCAACAAATGGCTCAGGGTCAGCGTCGGTGATGGGCGGAGTGGCAACGTTACTGCTGAAGACAGTGAGTGCATCGCTTCCGATGGGGCTGGCCGCTTCCTGCAAGTTCGTTTGACTCGGTCCCGACTCTGGGGGAGTATGACTGGAGCGGTGAGGGTGAAGGGATCGGGGTCGCGTCACACGCTCTGAGCTTGCACCAGCGACTTCGGAGGTATCTGGAGTGGCCAGGTAGCCGGACGGTCTGCCCCTCGTGAGTTGGCGTCTAAGACGTTGCGAAGCATCCTCGGGTATGGAGAGCCCAGTGGGTCTGGGGTTCCTGGAGGGTCTCGAAGGCAGGACTGGCGACGCGTTGTAGGACGGCGATGCTTCGCGGGGATTCGAACGACGAGACTTTCTTTGGCTGGCATCTGAGGGCGACTTTGATGTGCGTCTTGGGGGCTCTTGACTCGACTGGTCATCTTTCAGGAGGCCTGCTGGCTGCCTTTCGGCTGCGATCGGTGCTTTGCGCTGCTGAGATAGACATTGTCAGCAAATGCGATGGATGGCAAGGAAAGGAGAAGAGCAAAGAAAAAAAGGAAGAAAAAAGATAGACGGGGTGGGAAGTCGTGAGGGGGCTTACTGTTTTGGCAGCAAAAGGGTTGTCGACCGTGCCATCGGAAGAAGAGCCAGAGACACTGAAAGAGAAGTTCGCGAGTTCGGGGGGTAGAGGCTTCGAGGCGAGAGGATACTCCTTAGAGTCGAGTTCATGGAGAGGACGAACTTCGCGCAGGTAGACGGGTGGAAAGGTGCGCTTAGTGGTGGTGGTAGTGGTTGTAGTTGTGGTTTCTATGCACTCAGAAACGGCCAACTGGAGGCTTGTCGAGTCGGATCCGTGAATAGAATTATTGCCTTCGTCGACAGAGAAGGAGACGGTCTGGCTAGAGCGAGGCCGCCTCACCTCCGTGGTATTGATCTGAGGACCGGGCGAGGGCGTCATATTGCCTCTCGCGTGGTATGCGGTCTAGTTCGAAATCTCGACTGCTGCAAGATGCGATGTGAGGCGGGGAGTATTTGTCGTGAGAGTGTCGGAAAAGAGAGGGGAGGTGTCGAAGAGGAGAGGAAATGTAAGGTTTGGGATCGGAATCGGGTGTGAGTGAGGGTTGGGGATTTCGAAGGTGGCGGGCGGGATTACGGTCGCAGGTCGCAGGTTGCAGGCACGGCTTACGGGTGCGGGTACTGTGGATGTGGAGGTGGAGTTTTTTGGTGGCAGCACCGTGGACAACCAAGGCGGGAGGGGAGGGCGAACCGCGAGGGTGTGAGGGCGGGCAGGAGCCTTGAGAACCTTAGGTACGTACGGATAGGGTGTCGCGGGCCACGGCGGAAAGAGCGACTCGTTGGTGATGCGGCGCGGTCCTTCTTGGTTTTGGGGGGCAATGAAGGTAATGGAAGGTACCTCAGTACCGCGGAGGAGAAACAGCACGGGGAGGTTCGTTCCAGGTTTTCACTGCCTGCCCCCAGGTGGATGGGCACCCCTGAAGAAAAAGTACCTGGCGGGAGGTACTTGTAGATTCGCCTACAAAACACCAAATATAAGGTACCACTCTCAGTATCTACTCAAAGTAGGTACCCAACCTTGGGAGGCCTTGAGTAAAGCAATACGGTACCCAATTAGTAGGTGCACGGCACAACAGAAGCCCGCTGCTCACACCGCAACGGATCGGAATGGAATGAAAGCGCAGAAGCAATGCCGCAGTGGAAGGAAAGACGGGTGCGATGCAAGGCAAGCCGAAAAAGCAGGCGTCGGTCAATAACGCGGTGAGACGACTGTCGGCGGCCGGACGTCAGGGAAGTTAAGCTGGGTACTAAGGTAGGTAGGTAATGTACGGAGTATCGAGGAAAGATACTCCCGCCGCCAAGTTACCTCGGGAGCGGTAAATGGTGACAGGCAGGAATGAAGAAGGGTTCTATCAATTGTTCGCACAGCAAAATGCCGGGCATGGAAGAATGTCGAGTAGGTGCCAAAGACGTAACCTGGAAGGATTGTGGGAGAGAATGGAAGGTTTCCAAGCTGCGGGGAATAAAGTTGGCTTC